AACTCACAAAGGGCAACTATGCAAAAATCTACAGGTGACATTCTCCTTAATGGTGAAAAACAGAATGTTTATCTTTTAAGATGCAAATGCCTACTCACACTACTTCCACTTAACATTGTATTAGATCGGGCAATCTGCTTGCATAGAGATACTGCCTCAGAAACCCAAGCAGGGGTCACTGTGAGTTGGGATGACTCAAAAGCAGTGATTTTGGTTTGGTTTAGACATTTTAGCCCATACAATAAGACAAGAAAACAGAAATAAAGACATACATATTAGAATGAATCAGACCTGTATTTATTTGCAAAGACATAATCTTGCATGTAGAAAGTCCTAAGGAACCTATATAACTTAAAAACAAGTTTAGCAAGGTCACAAGGTACAGGGATATTATACAAAAATCAATTGTTTTTCTATGTATTAGCAACAATGAGTCTGAAGAGGAAATTAAGAAAATAAACCCATTAACAAAATTATCACAAAAAGAATAAAAATACTTAGAAATAAATTTTTAATATTGTTAAGATGAAAATTCTTCTCAAATTGATCCTTATATATAATACAATCCCTAGCAAAAACCTAGCAGGCCTTTCTTTTTTTTTTTTGTAAACTTGATAAGCTGATCATAAAATCCGTGTAAGAATAAAACAGAGGACCTAGAATAGTGAAACAATTTTTTCAAAGAAAAATGGAGAAGTTACACAACCCAATTTCAAAAGTTACTATAAAACTGCATTAATCACAGTAGTGTAGTATTGGCATAAGCAAAGATACAGAGCAATGAACCAATACAAAGTCCAGGAAAAACAAAACAAAAAACAACCTTACATCTGTGCTCAGTTTATTTTTTTACAAAGATGCCAAGGCAATTTAATAAAGAAAGAATAGTCTTTTCAATAAATGGTGCCTGAACAATACAGAGAGAAAAAAAAAAAAAAAAACTTGGATCCATACCTCATACTTTATATACACAAAGATTCAGTTAAAATGGGTAATTGCCGAAACTATAAGTTCTAGAAGAAAACAGGAGAATTTACTTTTCTAATTTGGGGTTAGGAAATATTTCTTAGATATGATACCAAAATACAATGTATAAAAACACTTTGATAAATTGAACTTCATCCAAATTAAACTTTTGTTCTTCAAATGATGACAATATTACAGTAATAAAAAACAAACCATATACTGAGAAAAAGGTTTACATTTCTATATCTGATTAAAAGACTTATATCAGAATATATAAAGAACTCTTAAAATTCAATAATAAGAAAAACAACCTGATAATAAATGGGCAAAAAATTGAACAGACACTTTTCCTAAGGAAATATCTGAATAGCTAGTAAGCATGAGAAGATGTTCAACATAATTCATCATTTGTTGTCTCTGTTAGTTGCAGTTGACTCATTTCTGACTTACGGTGACCCTGTGTGTGCAGAGTAGAAGTTCCTTATAGGGTTTCAAGGCTGTGAACTTTCAGAAGCAGATTGCCAGGCCTGTCTTCTAAGGCAGGGTCTTCTAGGGTGGGTTTGAACTACCAACGTTTTGGTGAGTAGTAGAGTGCTTAACCATTTGCAACTAAAAACGATTAGTCATTATGGAAATGCAAACTGAAACCACAATAAAATACAACTATACATCTGCTAGAATGGCTATAATTAAAAAGATTGAAAACAAAAGACTGTTGGTGAGCATGTGGAGAAAATGGAACTCTCATACATTGCTGGTGGGAGTATAAAGCGGTAGAATCAAGTTGGTAAACTGTTTGGCAATTTAAAATAATGAAACATGTACTTAAGGAAAAGCCTAGCCATTCTAATCCTAGGTATCCACCCAAAAGAAATGAAAACATACCCAGTCAATACCTTGCATGTGAATTCTCATAAAAATGTTATTAATAGTAAAATGCAATGCAAAAAAAAAGCAAAAACAATACAAATATAGACCAACTGCTGAATGGATAAAGAAAATTTGCTATATGCATTCAACTAAATATTGATTAATAAGGAGCTAACTACTGATATGTATAACAAGAATGAACCCTCAAACATTATGCTAAGTGAAAGAAGTCAGACACAAATATGATTCACATTTGAAATTTCTAGAAAAGGAAATCCTATATAAACAGAAGGCATATCATTGGTTGCTTAAAGCTGGCAGTGGCAGGTGATGACTAACTACAAACAGCCCCAGGGGATCATTTTGGGATGATGTGAATGTTCTAAACCTGAATTTTGGCGATGGTTGTACAGACCTATAAAGTTACTAGATATTATTGAAATGTGGAGTTAAATAAGTGAATGATGTTCAAACTATAACTCAGTAAAGCTGTTAAGAAAAAAAAATGTGAGGTCTCCCAAACCTATATAAGTTCATAAAAATTAGGCAGATGAATTTCAATGCTAAATGGAAGGAAATTGATTAGAGTTAAAAAAAAAAAAAAAAATTGGATTTGTGGTATGAGCCAGGATGTAGAAAAGAGGTGTAATCATTGTAATATAGATATCATTGCAGGCTTTCTCCTAAATCTAGCAGCCCCAATATAGAATAAGGTAAAATAGGAAATAATGTCATAATAATAGGTAATGTTAAATTGGCTATAACAAAGAGATTCCCTCTGCTATTAATCATAAATATCTTTTACTTGTAAATGAAGTCTATTCTTTGTGATTGCCTTTTCTGAGGTCAAAAGTAAAGGCTATGTGCCTGTGGGAAGGGTTTTAGTGTCTCCTTTGATGATAAGGACATTTGCAGTTTCAATTCTTGCAGGAGAGGTAGAATCTGAGACAGGAAATCAAAACTTGAAAGGTGAGTTTTGTTATTGTTGTTGTTGTTGTTAGTGCTCTTGAGTTGGACTGACTCATAGTGATCCTTCCTTGGGTTTCTGAGGTGACATCACTATGGAAGTAGATTGCCCAACCTTCCTCCTGAGAAGTGGCTGGTGGGTTTGAACCGTCAGCCTTCTGGTTAGCAGTCAAGTGCCTTAGGCACTACACTAAGGTGAGTTTTAGGAGAGGGAAAATTCTAGGTTCTTTTTGAATCTTGATTTTGAAGAGTCTATGAGTAGTAGAGACATGAAGGAGTTGAGGAGAGATTACAGAAGGTCATTGACAAATACAGTTACATTAAAAATAAAATCAGAGACAGTGAACACTGAAAAGAAAATTTAAAAACATAAATCATGGCAGACTATTCGGTTCCATTAAAAACAGCTTTCTCAGAACATGATACAAGTTTAAAATGTAAAGAAAAGGGGAAAAAAGTTCATGAAATATTCAGATTACTTGGTAGATGATGACAGAAGAAATTGGGAATGCCTGAGGTGGATTAAAATTGCAAGTGATCCAGATATTCTTGTTGAATTGAAATAGCCTAGTCTGTGATAGGATTGTGTTTCCTTTTAGTATTACTCCTCAATCTCTGTCTATCATATCCTGGCATATATCAGACAAGCAGTAGTTAGTGAATGAATTAATGTCTTATGGCTTTCAAGTCCCCCCCACCAGTAATTATGATTTTGTTCATCAAGTTATTTAATACCCACTGTCATCGAGTAAATTCTAACTCTAGTGACCCAATAGGTCTGAGTAGAAATGCCCCCATAGGGTTTGTGAGACTGTCAATCTTTATGGAAGTAGAATGCCTCATCTTTCTCCTGTGGAACAGTTGATGGGTTCAAACCCTTTTGGTTAGCAGCCCGATGCTTTTACTACTGCACCACCAGAGCACCTTAACTTATTTAATACTCGATTTTATTGGCAAACACTGAACTATAAACTGCTCCTTGGTGTCACTTCTGGATAGGCCTAATAAAAAGGCCATTAAGATAACCAAGTTTGGCATGTCCCACATTTTTGTGATATATAGGATTTTCAGAATGGCTTCTCAAAACATTTCTTCCTGAATACCCCCTTTCACTTCCATCTCCCTAGATATTTAGCATGTATGTGTTTATTTTCATATAGCTGAAAGTTAGTATCTTCATATTGTTGTATCTTTGTTATGGTGCCTGTAGTTATATATTGTTTTTATGTTCTCTGTTATGATTTCTTCAAGTGTTTCTTGTAATCTCAATGTATTGTAAGTGTCCTAAAGTATTTCAGAATACATTATACACTATAAAGAACTGACCAAATGTAAGGGATTAAAACCTCAAAACTAAAATAAACATTTTGAAGACAATGGGTCAATTTAGGTTGGATTCATTTTAAAAAGAAAATGAGAACTTAATAAGCTATAAGAAAAATTAGTATAAATGAAACAGGAAATGATCTTGTAAAGGTAATCTATAGTGATAAATATACTCTGGGCTATAATTGGGATATTAAGTTTACTCAGTAAGTTAGTATATTTTACTCAGCTTTATGTTTCATTGTTTGAAAAACACAGCATAAAGTAAACTGTAGCATTAAAAGCCAGCCTCATTCCAATTTATTTTTATAGCATAGTGCAAAACAACCCGAGCTGAAAGTACATTCAGGCACTGAGACTTAAATCCCTAATGGTAAGAGAGTAGTTCCATAAACAGATGTGAACATGGATTCTGAGTTTATTTGCTTGTGGCAAAAATAAAAGTACCAACTCAATAAGTTTTAATTTATAGGCATCTACACAGAAAGCCTTTGGGCACTTTGAACAAAACTGACTAAAAATAAAATTTCGTAAAATAAAACCTAAACTTCCCTATTCTCTGTTAACACCAGGGAATGTAAATTTCCCAACTGGATGGTGGAGAGATTCTCCATATTTCCTCTAGGTTCATTCTTGAAATTGGGGGCTATGCTCAACCATTCTTTCAGTTAGCAGCCAAGCACTTAACCAACACATTACCAGGGCTTCCTTTATGTGTTTCAAAAATATTATATTCTATGAACTCTACTATTCTACCATTGGACATATAATAAACTGAACATCCTTATTCATGCAAAATATAAATGAGAAAGCCAGAGACAGGTGTTATAGGCCTGACTTGACAAAAAGACTTCACCGCAGTATATGCTTACCTCACATTTTGTTCTTCCAGTGTCTCACTTGTGAATTCCAGTATGTCAGCGGCTGTTCCCACAAACATAAGGAGAAGTTGTGAGAGTTGGTCCCGAGTGATCCCGCCTCCAATGGGTAGAAGCCATCTTCCAATTATTAGCATTAACAGGAATGTCTGATGAAGTCCCAAAGTCCAAACTTTCTCACACACTGTAGATAAGTTATTTACAAAAACTTTGGCCTGTTTAATAGAAATGTCATACATTCAGAAAGATTATGAAAAATGCCTTCTTCCCCATGCCTTTCAGTCAACAGTTTGATTCTATGGTATGGCATTTTCAGTAGTAATTCTTCACTTCATATAAAAAGCAAAGCACCTTTCAACTAAACACTCTGTAAAGAGTGTAATGTAGTCCTCAAGATGGGGCTGTCTTGTAACTAGCAAGTAATTTAAACCTTAACATTTGCTGGTGAGATTGTATGACAACATATTTAAAGAACCAATTTTATAATCATATATCCAAATGTTTTAAAAATCATTTCTAATTTTATCATACTCTGGTGGCATAGTGTCTAAGGCACTTGACTGCTAACCAGAAGGCTGGTGGTTCAAATCCACCAGCCACTCCTCAGAAGCAAGGTTGGGCAATCTACTTCCGTAGTGACACTGCCTTGGAAACCCAAGGAGGGGTCTCTATGAGTCAGGTCTGACTTGATGACAAACAACAACAACAACAACATAATGTACTATAATAACTTGCAAAATTTTAGAAATTCCACATCAAAATCACAAAAAAATTCATAAATTACTCTTTATTGACTTCAAATCTGAATTTACTAGTTTAGGAATATTTTTAGCAGGGCACATTATCTTCTCTTTTGTTTTTTATTGCTTTAAAATGTATCTAACTAGGAAAACAAAGGGAGCTCTGGTGGCATAGTGCCTAAGGCATTTGACTGCTAACCATGGTAGTTCAAACCCACCAGCTACTCCTTGGAAGAAAGGTTAGGCAATCTACTTCCATAGAGATACTGCCTCAGAAACCCAAGGACAAAACAAAAACGTATCCATTACCTAAAGGTAAAGAAAGATAATAATTATAAATTTTTATTTCTATTCTGCATATTTAATTGTCCTATTAAACTCCGCAGAATCAATAGCCTATCTTATTTTTGAAAATACTGCTCAGTGGTAGGTGCCTTGAGTCTCTCCTTCACACCATTTTCTAATAAGTTCTGGTTATTTTGTCAAATATCAGGCATGTGCAAAACAAGGAAATGGTTCCATTTTGGCTGGAATTCTACCCTATTTTATTAATATAAGCACTTCAGAAATATATAGGACAGATCCCAATCTTTTAATTATATCATTCCTTCACAAATGTATGTGTCTTTTTGTGCATATGTTGTCTGATATATGTGTTACAGGTTTCTTAATGCTGCAGATTAAATATATCTATTAATTTAATTATATGATTATATATTATTTATATAAAGTATATTTTACAAACTTGCTTTCACATAGACTCTGACTCATGGCTGCCCCATGTGTGTGAGAGTAGAAATATGCTCCACAGGATTTTCAATGACTGATTTTTTGGAAGTAGATCACCACCAACTCTGGATGGACTTGAACTGTGAACCTTTTGGTTAGCTGCTAAGTACATTAGCTGTTTGTACCACTGAGGGACTCCATTGTTTATACATAACATGTATAATATTTGATGTACATTATACATGTTATGCCTGGTAAGTATGTTTCATGATATAAAAAATAAGTTATTTATAACTTTCTGCACTAAATTAAACAATTGGCAAATGTGTAAGAGTGAGCTGACAGGACCACTACTTGCTAGACCCTTTAATGCAGGATGAGAAAAGTTCCCACCGTCTCAATGAGATCATCTGCTCCATTGGTTTGTTCACTTGACATCAGAGTTTGATTGAAGTCTTCTTTGCGACTGGTATTTTGAGCTATTCCTTCAGATTGGCTACTACAGTACTAAGAATTGAGAAAGAAAAAAAAAAAAAAAAAGAAAAAAAAAAAAAAAAAAGAGAGAGAAAGAATTCCACAGTAAAATAGAATTTAAATGACTTCAATCTATCCCTGAGATTATAAATTAATTAGAGTTTTACACAGTATGCATGAATGTTTCCAAAAATCTGAATGTAGGCTTCAGATAGAAAATCACTTTTTAATTAATATGAGAAGCGAATGAACAAAGCAAGTTGTATTTGTCTATAGATCTGTGAGGACACAGGTGCTTTGGGTCACTGTGGAGAACTGCAAAATTTATGGACTGACAATTGAAGTTCCTTTCTTGAACCTTGAAACAATCGTAAAATAAACCAACCACAGCAAAACGTGCACAATCCTATTAAAAAGAATTCTTTCTAAGAGTTTATTTCTTGGCCAGAAACTTCAATCTATCCATGAGATTATAAATTAATTAGAGTTTTACACAGTATGTATGAATATTTCCAAAAATCTGAATGTAGGCTTCAGATAGAAAATCACTTTTAATTAATATGAGAAAAGAATGAACAAAGCAAGTTGTATCTGTCCATAGATCTGTGAGGACACAGGTGCTTTTGGTCACTGTGGAGAACTGCAAAATTTATGGATTGACAATTGAGGTTCCTTTCTTGAACCCTGAAACAATTGTAAAATAAACCAACCACAGCAAAACATGCATAATCCTGTTAAAAAGAATTCATTCTAAGAGTTTGTCTCTTGGCCAGAAACCTCTTTTTGTAAAGCATAATTTTGCTTAAGTAAATAAGCCAATTACTTCCAATCTTGCCTGATAGCACCATAACAATCAGAAAATTATCATGTTCACCTACCAAAATATATATTTTAGTATCAGTTAAGAATCCAACTTAAGTTGATGGAAAATTTCACAACAGAAGTAAAAGAAATGTTTTGTTTTGTTTTAGTTTTCTTCTCTTCTTTTCCTTTATTTTACATGTGAATTTCTGCTAGTGAACTTCTCGTGATTTTTATCCATTGAGATGCTGGGATCTGAACTAGAGACGAGGAAGGAAAAAGTATACAGGAGAGGAAAGGGGTGGCACTGGAAAATTGAACTGTAGCCAATGCAATTTTATGAATTGGTTATATATATATATATATGGTTGAAGATTTTCATAAACATCTGCAATGCTAGCATACTTTTGAAACACACCACATCCACAATCACGCATTTGAATTTAGAGAGAAATTATTTTTCTTAAAAAATGTTAATGCTGTAAGTAATGTATTTTTCTTACTTATTCTGGATACCTCATTGATCATTCTATGAGCTACTTGAAGAAGTAGAAAAGAAAATCTCTCAAGAAGCTATTTTTTCATACCCTCTATCCAAACAACTAGTGTTATGGGTAAAATGACAATAATGATTAAGAAAAATGGTCAAGTACCATTTCACCAAGAGCAAAAATACAGCTGTATGCAGACTTGTGTGTGTGTGTGTGTGTGTGTGCTTTTAGGCTCCAAGAAAAGATAATGAAGGTAAAAAATTAAATCTTTGTGCCAAGCAACAAATTCTCACTGCAGAGCAATTTTGTGACTCTAAGAACTGTAATGGACAATAGTAAACAAACTTTGACCACTTCATTTGCAAGCATGAAAGCAGACTGTATATTTGAAGTGATGACTTTGATATGTTCTTGAAATCATTTTCAGTAAAAATGCCTAATATATCATTACTTTAAGAAAAAAAATCATTCTGCATTGCAGCATGAGGTAACTTGGAAACAAATAGCTTTGTAGTCTAGGTTTGGTTGATTCCTGTCTACTTCCAGTCTAATGGGATTAACCTCCATCTGAATCTCTCCATTCGTTTTATTCTATTTGTTATAAATTGACAAGACTCTTTTGAATGGCAGCTCCATGAGGACTGCTAATTGAAGAAGTAGAAAAGTGAACAACTGGTTTGTCTCCTACAACCTAACCTGACTCGTACTGTTTTCATGGTAATATTATCTACATTCAGGATTGTATAGATAGGTACTTGTAGATGATCTAGACAAAAACATAACTGTTTTTTCATGGAAAATTCTTGTTAGCTTCAAAACTTTTCCTTTGGGTCAAACCCAGTTGTAATACAATCAAGACCAGACAGTTTCTATTTCTTTAATTGTGCCATTTCATAAATAGATCTGACTAATAGTAAAGGTCATAATCATTGTTATAACCATCTTGTTTCCATGTATGTAGACCCAGCCAGATTCAAGAACTAAGGTACAGATTTGATCATCTGGGGGAAACGACTTCTTGAAATAGGTCAGTATGTTTTCCTAGTGCTGAGTCATAGGTTACAACATTTAGGATATAGAGTAAATGGAAAATGTAAAAGGAAATTAAATTATTTTTTGCTATCATGAAAAATTCAGACCATTTTGATGCAAACTCCTCTAAAACATAGAACATGTAACAGAGAGGCAATCTGCCTTAATGGACTAGGGGTCAAGACCTAGGTTCCAAGACCTAGTATCACTGTTGATTAGCTATGTGGCCTTGGGAAAATTATTTAACCTTTCTGAGCCTTAGGGTCCTGTTCCATAAAATAGAAATATATATACTATGCCTGACTCGTGGAGTTGTTGTGACCATAAATGAGAAAGTATATCTGGAAATACTTTGAAAAATATAAAGGACTTTGTGCAAAAAAGTGATTATTATTACCACTAAAATTCCCTAAATGAATAGACTACAGGGATTGCTGTACTTACCTTTATCTGCCATTTTTGCCTTTCAAATGACATTCCAATATTTTTTATCTTACTTTTTTTCTATTTCTTTCTCTGCTTACTCTGCCCAACCCCATCTCTGGGCATTCATTCTAATTCTCAGTGTCAATATGAGTCAAATTTATTACTACTAAAGGTCCAATTTCTTTTGCAGTATGAAAATTAGAGAGATACTGCCTGGGGCTCAGAACTCTTTTTTTTATTAAAAAGAGAGCTTTTGCTTGCATGCTATTTGTTGTAATAGGATTTGACCTGTATATCAATTAACTGTGCAACATATTTATATTATAAAAGCATTTGGGGGAATGAATTGTTATTGTGGATGATAGCCATGTCATGGAATTGGATGTGAAGGAAAAAATTGATTCTAATCACTAGAGCTTATTTCCATACCCATGAAAGTAGTAAGTAGTAAGAAAATTGAAACTTGTGGCACAGTATTAAAAAGCATGATAACTTGAATTAACCAATCTTTGGTTCCAAAGATACGTTTGCTACAGAAGTAGAGATGCCTATGACTGTAATGTTTTATAAAATAGAGATGCAAGTAAGATAAATGATGTTTTTCTTCATGCCTTCATTATTGGTGCATGGTTGTGGAATTCAAAAATAGTCCACAAAGCTAAATTCCTCTCTGTGCACCTAAAGTTTGGAGAAAGCATTTTCAAAGTAAGGTTTTGAACATCTGAAATACATACAGGAGGCCTAGCTTTGCTATCACATGACCAATTGTAGGAAAGAAATCTATAAATGGTCAGATTCTCACAGATCTTGGCTAAAGCATTTTATCAGTGAAATACAAAAATATCACAGCTGCAGTTTCTCTATAACATAGTCCTATCACCTGAACTCTGATAATATGAAGTCCAAGCCGAAGTCTGATGGACTTTTACTAACAGGTCTTTCCATTGTACAGAGGCATTAATAATAATGAATCAATGACTCCAACCTAAAGTCTGTGCCATAGACTTGCCCATGTAAGAAGCAGCTCACCTGAAAATCAGTACCTGTAATATTTTCAATTTAGTACTTTTATTGGAAGCCACGGTTCATTTTTGAGGTTAATGTGATCTTCACACATACAGCCCAAGTTCCCCCAATGGTGAGTCCAATGGTTCCGATCCCTGAACCTTAGTATCAGGGTTCTGGAGAATTCCTATCCACTAAAATGGCTCCTTGAACCCCTTTTCCCCAAAGGGAATCTCCTGTAATCTGCATAGCCTGTATTTTAAGACATACTCTTTAAAATAGCCTTTCCACATTTTATTTAAATTATATAAGAGTGCAGATAATGCTTTTTTTTTTTTTTTAATTGTTGTCATTGATAAAAATGCCATTTTATAAGATGCCTGGTTGCTAAACCCTTCTCAATCTTAGCCCAGCATAGAAACTCAATGGAGCTGCAAAGGTTAAAATCAAATTTTCAAACTCCTACATAAACTTCAGGAGCTCTGGTAGTGTAGTGCCTAAGGCACTTGACTACTAACTAGAAGGCTGGCAGTTCAAACCCACCAGCCACTCCTCAGAAGTAAGATAGGGCAATCTACTTCCATAGTGATACTGCCTCGGAAACCCAAGGAAGGGTCACTATGAGTCGGGTCTGACTCGATGGCAAATAACAACAACAACAACAACATCAACATATAAACTCTAGCATAAGAAGAAAGGCCTTAACAAGATGTTATTTAGTCATGCAACATTAAGTTTTAAATAAATGCAATTATTTGATTGGTTTTGACAGATAATGGGTTCACTTCCTTTTGTTGATGGCTTCGTTTGTATTTATTCAATTCTTAATAATCTTAGTCCCTTAGAAAAGTTCATTTCGTACACTGTGAAATACTGTGTAAGGAGTTTCCTACTTTCAAAAAGGAAGTACCTGGGTCTCATGATGCATTTCAAGAAGCCATAATGATGGAACGATGCTAATCAGATACAAAAATATGGCTGGTGAAAACCTGTGAAAGGGGAAAAAAAGGATAGTTTAGGTCAGCTTTAAAAAAGAAAAACAAATTAACATACCCTGACCACATTGAGTTAAACCTTTTTATCTTAAGTGTTTATTTCAATGGGGGGGCATTCTGTGATTTCTGCCATATGGATTATAGAGAAACAAAGTAACTGTAAAAGGCACTAGCAGCTGTCATTCTCACTGAATTTCTAGTCCAATTAATAGATGTTAATTTTAATATGGTTTAATGGGACACTGCCAATTAGTTCCAGGCACAAAACTGGATATTTTGTATTTAATATGTGTTACAGAAAAGCAAACACAGCAATAGTAAATCTTCTTGGATTTTTTTCAATGTTGCAATTTCAGGAACATTGGCTCATTTTTCAACACTAACCTGGAATGCTGTGAGCCTAAATAGTAATAGCCTGTTAGAGCACAAAAATCAGATGATAACGAATAGGGATGAATGTAACGCACTGGCTGTCTGTGTCTTTGCTAACCTGTAAAAATAATAAATAAATACAAACAACAGCAGCTGAAGGGGTTGGTATTTTTTAAAAGGCTTTCTATGGTTATTTTTTGTGGCTCAAAATTGAGAGGGTGCTACAGAGTAGGCTATTAAAATCAGAGTAATTCAGGTTTAAACCCCAGTTTTGCCATTGATCTCTCAATTTGTTGTCTAATCCACAAAATGGTGATAGTCACATTTATTTCATACAGGTGTTTTAAGCTACTTTGTGTAACAAAATGCCTGACAAAGGTGGACATTCAATAATAGATAGCTATTATTTATCATCCACCACTCCTGTGTCAGTTTGTCCTACTGTGGTTGCTTGCATGTTGCTGTGAGGCTGGACTCCATGCCATCCATATTTCAAGTCCCACCCACAGGGTCATCCTTGGTGAACAGATTTCAGCAAAACTTCCAGACTAAGATAGACTGGGAAGAAGGATGAGAACATCCACTTCTGAAAAATTTGACCACTGAAAACCTTATGAATAGCGGGGAGACACTGTCTGATATATTACTGGAAAACCTCAAGAATAGCAGTGAAGCATGATATGATGCAGTGATGGAAGATTAGCAGTCAGATTGAAAAGCCCTCAAAATACTACTGTTGAAGAGATGCCTCCTCAAAGTGGAGTCAGCTTTCAGTAATGATTGTGGGTGGAGTAAAGCTTTTAGGACCTTCATTTGCTGATGGGGCATGACTCAAAATGACAAGAAGTAGCTGCAAACATTCATTAGTAATAAGAATGCAGAATTTATGATATAAGAATCTAGGAAAATTAGAAGTCAAAAGATCAGTATTCTAGGCACTAATGAGCTGAAATGGACTGGTATTGGCCATTCTGAATCAGATAAGTACATGGTCTACTGTGCTGAGAATGATAAATTGAAGGGGACTGGCTTCACATTCATTGTCAAAAAGAACATTTCAAGATCTATCCTGAAGAATAATGCTGTCAGTGATAGGATGGTATCCATATGCCTACAAGGAAGAGAAATTACACACCAACCACTAAAGCCAGAGATGAAGAAATTGAAGATTTGTACTAACTGCTTCAAGGAACTCTGGTGGTGTTGTGTTCAAGGCATTTTGACTGCTAACCAAAAGGTGGATGGTTCATCAGGCATGCCACAGAAGAAATATGAGACAATATGCTTCCATAAGTATTTGCAGCCTTGGAAACCAATGGGGGTTGCTATGAGTCAGAATCAACACAATGCAGTGACTTTGGTTTGGATTTTTAGAAACTTCTGCAGTCTGAAACTGAACAAACATGTAACAAGATGTATTGATAATTACTGGTGCTTAGAATGCAAAAGTCGAAAACAAATAAGAAGCTTTGGTAGTTGGAAAATATGGCCTTGGTGATGGAAATGATGCCAGAGATCACATAATAGGATTTTGCAAGACCACCAGAATTTAGAGAACATGTGAAGAATAGATTTGTCTCACTGAAAAACATTGACCAAAGAACAGATTGATTTGTGGGATGACATCAAGAATGTCATACATTAAGAAAGCAAAGTGTCATTGAAAAGTTAGAAAAGGAAGAAAAGACCAAAAAAAAGGTCAAAAGAAACTCTGAAACTTGCTCTTGAATAGAGAGTAACTAAAGCAAATGCAAGAAATGATGAAATAAAAGAGCTGAACAGAAGATTTTAAGGGGCCATTTGAGAAGACAAAGTAAGGTATTATCATGAAATGTGCAGGGAGGAACATATTCAGCATTCCTCAAGCTGAAAAAACTGAAGGGAAAATTCAAGTCTCAAATTGCAATATTGATGAATTGTCTGGGCAAAATATTGACTGATACAGAAAACATCAAAAGATGAAAGGAACATACAAAGCCATTGTACTAAAAAGACTTGGTTGATGTTCAACCATTTCAGGAGGTAGATATGATCAAGAAGCAAAGGTATTGAAGGGAGAAGTCTAGGCTTCACTGAAGGAACTGGCAAAAAACAAGGCTCCAGAAAATGATGGAATACCATATTGAGATGTTTCAACAAAAAGATGTAGCATTAAATGTGCTTTTCTGGAATTTGTGCCAAAATTGTGCCAAATGTGGAAGACAGCTTCCTGGCCAACTAACTGGAAGAGATTAATAATTGTGGCCAGTCCAAAGAAAGCCCATACAACAGAATGTGGAAATTATCAAACAACATCATTAATATCATATGCAAGTAAAATTTTGGTGAAGATAATTCAAAAACGGTTGCAGCAGTATACTGGCAGGGAACTTCCAGAAATGCAAGCTGAATTCAGAACAGGACAAAGGAATAAGGGATATCATTTCTGATGTCAGATGGATCTTGGCTAAAGGTAAAGAATATCAGAAAGATGTTTACCTGTGTTTTATTGACTATGCAAAGTCATTCAACTGTGTGAGGCATAACTAATTATGGATAACATTGTGAAGAATGGGGATTCCAGAGCACTTAATTGTGCTCATGTGAAACCTGTACATAAACCAGGAGGTTGTTGTTAGAACAGAACAAGGGGATACTTCATGGTTTAAAATCAGAAAGGTTGTGTGTCAGGGTTGTATCCTTTCACCATACTTATTCAGTTTATGTGCTGAGCAAATAATCCAAGAAATGGGACTATATAAAGAAGAACATGGCATCAGGATTGAAGGAAGACTCATTATCAACTTGTTATATGCAGACAATACAGCCTTGCATGCTGAAAGTGAAGATGACTTGAAGCACTTTCTGATGAAGATTAAAGAGTACAATCTGAAGTATGGATTACCTCAACATCAAGAAAACAAAAATCCTCACAACTGGATGAATAAGTAACATCACAATAAATGGAGAAAATATTGAAGTTGTCAAATACTTCATATTACTTGGATCCACAATAAATGCCCATGGAAGCAGCAGACAAGAAATGAGAGGTCGTATTGCACTGGGAAAAACTGCCGCAAAAAGACCTTTATAAGAGGTTAAGGAGCAAAGATTTTGAAGACTAAGATGCCCTTGACCCAACCCATTGTATTTTCAGTTGCCTTATATGCATGTGAAGGCTGGACAATGAATAAAGAAGACTAAAGAAGAAATTATGCATTTGAATTGTGGTGTTGGTGAAGAATACCGAAAATACCAGGGACTAACAGAAGAACAAACAAATCTGCTCTGGAAGAAATGCAGCTGTAATTCTCCTTACAAGTAAGAATAGGCAGATACCATCTCACCTACCAAACTCCCTGCTGTCGAGTTGGATCCAACTCATAGTGACCTCCCATGGGTTTCCAAAGTGGTATCACTATGGAAGTAGATTGCCCAAACTTCCTTTTGATGAGTGGCCTTGTATTTCAGTCACATTGTCAGAAGATACCATTCTCTGGAGAAGGATATCATGCTTGGTAAAGCAGAGAGTCACTATAAAAGGGGATGACTCTCAATGAGATGGATTGGCACAATGGCTGCAACTATGGGCTCAAGCATAACAAGGATTCTGAGGATGGCACAGGACCAGTCAGTGTTTCATCCTGTTGTACATAGTGTCACTATGAGTTGGAGCTGATTGGACAGCACCTAAGAACATCATTTATTATGGGGGCATTGTGCAATGAAAATGTGGCTTTGCTTTTTTGAAATAAGATAAAAATATGCTTTACAAATATTTCTTCAAATTGCGTCTTTAGATTGGTCTCTTGCTTTCCAAAGGAACTCACAGTCGAATTGTAAGTAAATAAAATTTAATTATTACTTTTAGTGCCTACATCTGATGTTTTAAAATAATCTGAAAATATAAGAAATGTTAATTGCTCAATAAATGGAACTATTTGAGATAAAATATTACCCAAATTGTATATTTCTAATCCAGGAAAGAAAACATGAACAACCCAAAATGAAAAAAGAAATTTTAGAATAACATTTTTTTTAAAGCCAATTATCCTTTTCATTAATATCTCCTTTCAGCTTCTGGGGAGAGAAAGGGAGGGAGCAAGACAAAAAGGTATCTTAAAAAAAAAAATCAATATTTAATAGAGACACTCCCCCACCTTTACGTTCCTGCAAAGTCCAATTTTGAAATAAAAGGTTATAGGTCATGATATTATTAAAATCTGACTTGGTAGATGGCTGGGCTGTAGAGAGATATCAAAAGCCCATGTTGAGCATGCTCTTAAAAAAAAAGGGAACAATTAATTCTTTGACCTTATATACCAAGGGAAGCATCAGGAGAGAGTCTTTCGTTTGTGAAGTCGAAAAAGGAAGTGAATTCTAGTAGGATGGACAGTCAAAATATGTAAATGTTTATTTGGGTATGTCGATTGTTGGCTAGACTGTCATTTTGTTGATTCTCAAATTCTCCCCTGACAGTTCTATTACAAAAATAATCTAGGAAAACCATAGACTGGACACATGATTAGCCATTGAAAAGATGTTTTAAAAAAAGCCAACAAAAACACTTAGCATTGTCTATGCATAGGTTTATTTCTGTAGTTGGGAAAAAATACTATTCTGTTTTGGTGTATGTTTAGGAA